AAGTAGAGTAGTCGAAGTCGTATTAAATTCCCTAATACAGACACTTTTAAAACTTAGACAAGGTAAGAGGGTACAAGCATGCTTACATAAAGACAGATCTCAATTGGACTTCTCAACTGTTCTGTACAAATAATCGCAAAACTTATGCATGTAAAAAATAGACATACATCTGCAATTCATTCTTCAAAAAGTATTAAATAGCGTCATCTAAACGCTCGTTCTCGCCATTAATGCCTGTTGATACGCGAGGCGGTGGGTTATAGGCCAAAGTCCTTCATAGACTTTGGCCTAAAACCCACCGTCTCGCGTATAAGCACAACCATCTTCGTTTCGAGTGTCTTCGACGGGAAATCTGCAAGCTGACGCTTTGTGTCGATGTAGTCAATCTTCGAGATTTCGAGTTGTATATTTGTGCGGAAGAAGTGGCGCCTACTGTCCACGTAGTCACCATTGTTGGCTAAAGCAATCGCTCCTTGGTTGTTGTGTTCCTTCCACTTGCTCGTGATTAATGGCCTTAAGCATCATATGCGTCCAAAAACACTTTTCGAGTGCAAAGGCTATGAGCTATACACTCTGCCTTCGCCGAACTAAGTGTGACGTTTGCTGAAACTTTGACTGAAACACCACTGGCGCGTTTGCAATCATGATCATAACACCTGATACAGAAAGCCTGTCATCAGTATTGCTGGCTATATCAGCATCTGAGTATGCCAAACCCAATCTTTGCCACTGCCTTGGTAGACGATATCGGTTAAGTGTTTACTCCATAGATATTAGAGCACGCGAAACGCTGCATTTTAATGTTGCAGCCCGAGGGTTCTCAAAGAACGTGGCGGCTGCGTTATCACGTATACAACATCTGCTCGAGTACTTGTAGTCATGTACAGCTGGCATGCAATCAAGGGATGATACGGCTTTGAGTACATTGCCATACAACCCTCTTCTGTTGTAGGTAATTGCGTCGACGACATCTTCAATCATGAATCGCACAAGTTGCCGACAATTTTGGAATCGTGATATTGCCACTCCGAACATCCAGGCGGAACAATCTATTATGATGAGTACAAAACGGAATTTCATGATCAACGCTAGTTAAGAATGGGCCTGCTTTTTTTGGAACTAAACTACTTCAGTAGAACTGAATGACTTGCGACAGAGCCTACTGTACAAGAGTCGGAGCTGCGTGTAACGGAGTTCCACGTGCCCTGGTATAAAAATGTGGGTCACACAAGATGGTGTGACCATACAGTAGTAGGGCTACACTTGAACAAGAAGTCAGTACGTAGATAGACTTTAAGTAGGTATACATTTAATTAGGTCTTTCTATATAGATGGAAAAGCCTATAGATTTTGATATAGACGGCTTTACCGCAAATAAAACCGAAAAATACATTTTTCATTCTAAACGGGAGGCTTAATGGGCCTTGGGTTAAGGTTGTAGTTACTCTTGGAGTAAGTGAATTGTGACTCGCTACACTCGTACTGGGTGCTAAGCATAGAACGAAGGTCACCCAAGCTTCATCTATGCGAGAGAGCTACGGCAGCCCCGCTGCACTTAGTAGCACTTGCTGGTCAATCTACAATTGAGTCGTTACGACTCACCCTCTGTAAGAATGGAGCAGTTCTCCTATTTGACCCAGGACAGGCAGGACGGGCTTAAAAAGGCGATGTCTCAGCTTGGCCCTGAGGGCGTGCAACACCTCGCTTCGCAAGGATCTGAAGCGATCAGTGTGCGCCCAGAGGCGTTTTCAAGATATGAAAATGCTCTGCTCGAGCGCCTAAAGGAAAAGATGTCGGCGTCGACTGCGTCTATAGCGCCACCTCCGACGACGTATGACTCCCCCCGACCTAGGCCGCTCATGGTTAGTATTGAGACCTTCGAGGGCGAGGATAAAGATCTTCTGCTCTGAGTAAGAGAGGCCGATATAGCTTTGGCATCCTCCATGTTTCAAAATCAGCAACAGCGCGTGGCGCTAGCTATCTCCAAGCTCGATGACCGAGCGCGTTCCCTTGTTGCCCAACAGGTCAAGAAGGTGTTAGTGGACTTTGTCCAGACGTTAAGAGCTCTGATTGCCGGGATGGCAAAATGTCCTCTCCCGAGGCGGTGGCAGTGACCGTCTTTATGGAGGCCTCCGCACTGGCGTGGCCAGAATGGAAGTCCTACGTGTGCATCTTTCTTCATTTAAAGGAGCGTTGAATGTGGCATTGAATGCCGTATATAATTTCAAGTCGGCGCAACTTGGTAAGAATGCACACCCTCAGAGCTCGTCGAGTGGGCCTGAGCCAATGGATCACAGCTATGCCGAGAAAGAGAAGGACGAGCTCCGAGCTGCTGAGCAGCGTGTGAACGCCCGACGGTGTTTTGTTTGTGAACACATCCGTCATCTTTATACTAGTTGTCCCCTGCGCAAGGCGCGTAAAGGTTCGTCGAAACGACGTTTTGCTTCTAACCAGTCTGGTTTGTCGCGGAAAAACGAGAAAGCCCAGTAGGCACGGGGCGCCCTACAGGGGAAAAACTTAATTATGTTGTTCCTCAAAGGCGTAGAGGGAAGCAGAGCCTAGCTCCAAAGAGCTCCGTGCTCTTGAACACGAAACGGTGTGCAAGCCGAGCTTGCTGGTCGTAAAAGCGACCGCGAAAGGCTTTAAAAAGTCATGGACATCCTTACCGATTACGGGGCTTCGGGCAATTGTGCTTGACGCTCCACGATCGGAGACAGTCAGCTGCATGCTGGGGCGCTGGAAGCGCGGTTGAGTAACACCGTCACTGTTCGCTCAGCGACAGGGGCTTGTGTAGACGTGCTGTGGACCTCTGTGTCAAGTTTCTTGACTTTGATAGCGTGGAACTTGCCTAGTCATAGACTTGGATGCAAGGTATGACCTTATTCTTGGTATGGCGTGGCTGGAACACCATAAGGTATGGATTGATTGGAGGTCGAAGACTTGGGCGCTACGCGCACGTCTCCTGTGGAACTTTGGTGAGTCATGAACCCACCATGCGAGGAAGCAGAAGCGCTATTGGAGCGGACACTGGACCGAAACGGTCAATGTTCCGAACATCGGAGTATCCTAGTTCTCAAACACCAAAGGTGTTTTGGACAGGAGTCCCGAGCGTGACTTGCCGGTAGAACGTGGAGGGCACGTAACCCACTGAGCGCTGCACATATATTGGAGCTGTCGCTGCATGCTAAGAGTGGCATCGTCGACCGAGAGCCGAGACAGCAAGAGCGAGACCCTTGTGATGCACGTGGAGTAGCAAGTAACCCACTGAGCACTGCTCACGTTACGAAGCAGTTGCTGCGTGCCAGGAATGGCATGGTCGGACGAGGTTCAAGGTATCTTGGGCAAGGCCCTTGTGATGCACGTGGAGTGGCAGGACGAAGACTGCGGAGATAGTATATTTTCGTCGGGTTTTGTTAATAGCATCAAGGCTCCGTTGGAGCAGACTTTAGATGACGCCGAGTGTATGTTCCCACTGGTCTCGATGAGACGTTAAATTTCTATAGAGAAGAGACGACAAAGCCGTATGATATCTGCAAGACGCAGAGTGTCGACCCTGACCCAGGGTGTGTCCACCGTAGACGATAGCGCACAGCTATACCCTTGTTAATGGTATGACGGGAGTGGAAGACGGCGGCGTCACTTTCGAGGCTATTCCCGCGGTGGATGATGCTCTTCTTGAGCTGGACGAGATGCCCTTCGAAGAGTTTAGCGGTGCCTTGAAGGCAGACAATTTAGCCAGCTGGTCCGAACGAGGAGATTCACTAATCGGCGCTTTTGGATGAAGCTGTCCTGGAGGACACTGAAAGTTTGGTGGATGCACGAAGTGGATCCTCGATCCTGAGAATCCCTCGGATCCGTATTAACCTTTGGTAACGGAATTCCAAGACGTCGTCTCCGAAGACCCGCCGTC